CATAGGGGTCCTAGGTGACCGACGACGTTAGCGGAGGAATAGCCTTCAACAGTTTTCTATTTGCAGGCAAAGCTTTAATATGGTATGTATGTGTATGTGATTTAATTAATATAATTTGAAAAACATTGTTTAGAAGTGAGTTCCAACTGGAAATGTTTGATTGTGTCATAATTATACGGTGCACCCGATCAAGGCGCTTTTAAATAGAGGTAGTTTCTTACATATTATGACATTTTGTATAGATGTAACTAAGATTATTTTATTGTGATATACGATAGGCTAAGGTTCTTTTATTACAAAAGTATGTAAGTAAAATAAATTAACATACTATCATTTGTTGTTCTTTTTTAAATACCTGTATGAATCAGTGACCAAATTGTTATTTGCAAGATGCTTGACAAACATACATCACTAAGATATGAATGAACTTACGTCGATGAGCATTAATTTCAGAAAACTATAACAGATGGCGTTGTTACTAAAACCAACGCTCCCCAAAGAGTGCTAACCGAAGTTCCTGGTAACGACTTTAGTTTTAGGTCACTCGTAACGTCTCTAAAGGTGAGACCATCCATCAAAGTTACTACCTTCATGTCAAGGAACTCCGTTTTGAACAATTTATTTGGACTTGGTGAATTGTATTCTAGTGTATCCAAAGCGCACCTAGAAACTTCGTATCCACTAGGTAGCACTTTTAGGGCGATATGCCATCATCGTGTTGATACGTAAGCAAAAATACATTCGAAAACATATGTTTGTTCTAATTGTGAGTTCACCAAATAGATTTCTGTTTATGGGAAATCTGTATTTGTGTTTCATAATTTAAACTTAGGCTAATACCTAACTATTCTCTTGAGCATGATGAAAAGCCTTTAATTGGTTGTTACACTACCAAATGCATATTGTAAACCGATTTGTTGTAATATGATGTGTAAACAGTCGTTGGCTGACCTTAATAAATATTTAAATAAATAAATAAAGAATTGTTGCAACAAGAGTTAAAAGAGCAGGGTGTACTTTTTCGCGCGCCTCAAAGAGCCATCAGACCACCACGGATGGGGCCCAACAGGGCTAATGCCGATACAGAGCCGCGGAAGACTTAACGGGTTGCCGGGGCTCCGGCTCGAAGTGCAGGAGTAAGAACGGGGTGGTTTTTAGTCAGTAAGAGTCTGACACTCCCTCTCGCCTCACCCGGGCGGGAGAAGTCATTGGATGACTTTCCCCCCTCAAAAAAAAAAAGGTGTACTTTTTCGTGGATAACAAATAAGTCAATGTAATTTAAAAAACTATTTGACTTGGATTTTTTTTAATATTTTTGATATTTATTGGAACCTTGCCGATCACCTGGTGGCATTTGATCATCGACTTCGGGGACAGCCTGTATGTAATATGTATGTATATCTGTGAGAGAGGGATTTTTTTTAAGGGGGGTAAGTCATCGCATGACTGCTCCCGCTTGGGTGAGGCGGGAGGCAGTGTCAGACTCTTACTGACTAAAAACCATCCTGTTCCTTCTCCTGCACGTCGAGCCGGTGCCCCGGTTACCCGTTACGTTTTCCGCGACGTGAGAGAGGGATAGATTGAAGAACTTCGTATAGTTACATCGATTTCTTTTTCGTCTTCATTGTCTTGCCGTTTCTTCTACGAATGGGGTACGCCGAGGGTCAATCATCTACATCATAATCTTAAAATTGATGGTGCAGAATGTAAGACAACAAAAAGATAAATTGTTAAATAAAAAAAGGCAAGCGACATAGCCAACAGGTAGATAAATGCCTGTCAGATAACGGTATATTACCCACATTATTAAATACTAAGTAAATAAGTACATACTTCAAGTCAATTATTTATACAGGTTCCTCGTGTCATCCAATTATATGGAACAAGTATTGTTATCAGTCACTTTTAAGTGGAGCTAAGGTGCTATTATAAACGTCAGTACTAGTAATAAGAGATTATTGAGATACTATCAGTTGTTCACGGTTTTGTCCATGTGATCAAGTGAAAAAGTAGCATAGAATCACTCTCCAGTTTTTTTCTATCTCCATATAAAATACGCTCTTTTCCGACGTGCGGTGAAGACAAACAAACGAATACAATTGTGCATTTATAAATTATATGTTTTTTGTAAGGATAGAAAATGATCAAATGAGTGAGATGAGAGGGAGTGTCAAACTCTAAGTAACCAAAAATCACTCCGTTGCTGCTACTACTCCGTGTCGAGGGTGCGGTATATAAGAATATTCCCCACAACCCTGGCAGAATTTAAAATATACTTAGGGATGCGGCGAATGTGCCATGTATATAAATAATACTTTTAAATGCACGCGCGCAGCTCACGGGCGGTTCGCGGTGCAGGAGTAGACACGGGGTAGTTTTTAGTCAGTACGAGTTTGACACTTCCTCCCGCCTCACCCAGTAGGGAGAAGACTTTCGAAGACATTCTCACCTTAAAAAATCCTTAGGAAGGATGCAGGTCACTTCCAACCAGCCTATCTGGAAGACATTGGGAAAGCCCTATGTTCAGCATTGGAAGTGTTATGGCCGATATGATGTTGAAGAATGTACACAAGTAAGAATGCTCACCACGAGTACGTTTTTATTTGTAGTCTAAGTATCATTATTTACATAGAGGTATATAAGTAATGAACGATTTTGCAAATCATCGTGATTTGTGTAAGTAAGAAAACTTGTTTGTTTATGTACTGTGATAATGTTGTTTCAAAACAAACTGTATGCAAATTGTTATGCATGCAAACTGTATCTTAAGAGGTACGACTAAGTAACAAAGTAACTAAGACAAGTGCACATTATTAATTGTAATTATAATTGTAAGTGAGCATATAAAATACTGCTAATGACTCTCATTTTACAAACTCCTCAAAAATCTTTGGAGAATATTGGAAATCGCAATACTGCAATAGGGTAGATGCCTAATTTTTATTTTAATGTCCGTCTGGTAGATTATTTTAAATCATTAGACACGTATTTTTTTTTATTTCTTACAGAAACGAATACTTTCGACGATATATTGATTGGAAATGACGCGTGACGTCACTTCTATGTACATTTTATACGTAGAAATGACGTTTTAGCCCCCACTCCTAAACTTTGATTTGTTTTATCTAAGTATTGTTTTATTATACGACAAAATAATTATATTATTAACTTTCATACCTACCCTGTCAGCATCCCAAATATGCAATGTACGCATTAATCTTGTTTATCATCGTATAGATGCAATATAATGAAATTTTCACCAACAATTTCATTTTTATAATAACTATCGTGACACATATTCAATTAACTAAAAATCGCGGGTTAAATCAGTAGCTGCGCGACATCGCCGCGACCGCGCACGCTGCTCATGAGGAAGAACCCCTCTGTGGTTCGAAACTAGTAGAGCTTTTCTCAATATATTCACGTGAGTAACCCGCGATTTTTAGTTAATAATTTTATTTCTCAAACTAATATTTAATGTCGTCAGTCCTAATTAGTTAAAAAAAGTCAAATCACTCATATTTTCAACAAAAACACAATAGGTAACAATGCAATACATAACATGTTTTTTGAAGTAATTGTGTTATGTTACGATAAATTCACCAAAACAAATATTATGTTACAACAAGAAGATAATATTATGATAAGAATTTAAAAAATAGTGTACTAATAACTGTTTATTTTTATTTGTATGTGATTCAGTTGGATTTGATTCATATTGTTACTGAATATATTTAGATATACCATAAATACGTTCATGAACAATCATGAACGAATCATGAAATTTTTTACTAGTCAGACAACTGACTAGTAAAAAATTGTACCTAGATAATTGGGTAGTTGACAGGGTATGTAAATTATGCGGGCGACTGACCGGGGGAGTCAGACGTCCGCTATATAGGCGGGAGTAGGCGTTAGCGTAGTGTTCCACGCGCGCTACTCCAAGAAGGAAAGCAGCCTCCTAGGGCCGCTAAGGTGGCGGGACCTGCCGCAAACATAGCGGTAGGTCGAGGCCTGCCGGGTGTGGTGATTCCGTAAGGGCAACCCGGGTTACGGTCACAGGCAGTAAAGGAACACCGCGGCGGTTTCAGCCGGTATGAGTCCGGCACGCCCCCTCGTCGTCCCCACGGCGCGGGAGGTCCATGAGGAATTCCATCGCGATAGAAAAAAAAAGAAAAAAAAGGGTATGTAAATTAAGAATATAAATTAGTTCGTCAGTTAGATAATGAAGAAATATCGTAGTCGTCATCTTAGTCGATACTAACGATACCCGCAGACAGAGAAGGGAAGGTAAAAAATTGATAATACTCTACCACACAGTTTATTAATATATCTCAGTCAAAATAAACTAAAAAATATGTGTTACTTACTACAAAACATGTTTTTTAAAATAATTGTGTCATGATATGATAATACACCAAAACAAAAACAAAAGATCATAATAAAAACAAAATTATGATATTAAGTTATTTTTAAACAATACACTAACTACTATTTATTTCCAAAAATAGATCAATTACGTTCAAATTGTTATCAAAACACGAAAGATTTAGATAGAATGATAATGATTGCCTCGTTGGCCGAGTCGTCGCAAGTGCGACTGCCGAGCGAAGTCTCGGGTTCGATTCCCGGTTCGGGCAAAGTATTACTGGGTTTTAAAAAAATTGTCAGTTGTAGCACGGAGTCTGGAATTGTGCCAGGTATATGGCAATAGGCTCACCCCCTATTACATCGGACTCACAACACAAATAGTGAAAAGTGGGTGTTACATTGTACAGTGGCATAATGTGTACCTCTGCCTACCCCATCGGGGATAAAAGGCGTGATGTTATGTTATGTTACCTACCAATATAAGTCCATGATAGTTTGATTAACAACAAAACAGTAGATAACTAGTACCGGCATACTATTTTTGGGCATATAATTATCAACACTAGGCACGTGGTCAGCTGATAAACAGGTACTATATACACAGAGACCGGACAGTGTGGGCTCAGTGTGTTCCGACCCGCGGTACGAGTAAGTAACGAGGATAAAAGTATTAATTTTTAAAAGTGGTGCTACCGTGTAGGACCCCAAGCTTAGTGTTGTGACTAAACAGTGAGTTGTTTTTTTTTATCGATTTTATTATGTTACTTTTTTCTTTAGGCTGTCTGATTTAAGATTGTTTGTTTATTGTTTTAATTATTTTTGTTTATTTAACTCGTCGAGCACCGTTATTATAGACACAATTAAAGAACAATAGGTTGCGGTCACCGGTGACCGCTTGGTGTTTGACAGTTTAAATATTTATTTTTGTTAAAACTAGGTATTGATTTTAAAATAATTAGTAACTATTAATCAGTGGCTGCTGGTGGGTTATCGAACTGGTGGTGCATTCAACTAAAATATTAAAATTAGGAAATGCAACAAAACAAAAGTTTTATTATCTTTTGTATACATATATATTATTTTTTGTATATGTGTCGACATTTTTCAATAACCTTTTTATTAATATCAGGTATTATTTGTATGGAATTATAGAGGTATTCAATACTAAGCACAGATAGTGTTTTCCTATTCGAAGATATTGCATTTAATCATTGCAGCAAATACCAATAGGCACTTTATTATTTCTTAATAATATGAAAACATATTTTTTATAATCAATCATCACAATAAATTCTATTTTTTTATATGGAGTTTCTTGCTCGTTCTTCTCCATAGGAATGTACACTTTGGAACGATCCAATAGCTTCATTAGAGGACTGATCGACAGACTGATATTTTTTTCAAATGTATGTATGACTTTATAATTTTGTAAGGTAACAATTGATACTATGATTAATTATAGTAATCATAAATGAATATTTTTTTACAAATATCTTACAACTTACTACCAGTTTGCGTTCGACTCTAGCTAGTATGTTGTCGTATTAGTTATGCAACCACGACTATCAAGTTACCGCCAGTAAGAAACCTGTTTGACAAGCGTCATCCAGGTCACTAGACCACGAAATACGTAGACAATTTAAAATATGTTTATATTTACGCGCATTGTGCAATAAAATACATGACACCCTGATTCATTCTCAATTCATATAAATAAATATAACATAACATCACGCTTTTTATCCCCGATGGGGTAGGCAGAGGTGCACATTACGGCACTTAATGCCACTGTACAATGTAACACCCACTTTTCACTATTTATGTTTTGAGTCTCATAAAATGCACATTTCCAGAATCCGTGCTACTGCTGAGATTTTTCTAAAAAACCCAGTAATACTTTGCCCAACCCGGCAATCGACCCCGAGACTCCGGCAGTCGCATTTGCGACCACTCTGCCAACGAGGCAGTCCATACAAATAAACTGACATAAAGATAAACAAAACAATCCGATATTAATATCAAGGCTTTTTATTTATCTTTTTTTAAAAGAGTAACGAATGGAGTTTCTTGCTCGTTCTTCTCCATTCGAATCTACGTTTTGGAATGAGCACCTAGCTTCACCTAGCTTCACTGACGGACTGACTGACAGACTATTATTTATTTTGTATTTGTTGACGTTTCAAAAGTACCAAACTATGGTTTAATTGAAATAAATGCTTTGACTTTGACTTTCTATACAGATAAATAAAATCGTCATAAATATGAAATTAACCTCTTTCTACTGCATGCATATGATACCTATACCAAAATGTATACTTTTTAATTATTTGTCTGTCTCCCTGTTTGTACTGACTAATCTCTTAAATGGCGGGATCGTCTAGACGGGACTTTTATTGGCAGGTAGCTGATGTACCAAGGAGTAACATAGGCTAGTTTTATTTTGGAAAATTTAAACAAAAGTTATTAACTAAAATCGCGGATTACTCACTTGAATATACTGAGAAAAGCTCTACTAGTTTCGAACCACAGAGGGGTTCTTCCTCATGAGCAGCGTGCGCGGTCGCGGCGACCTCACGTGACGTTAGCTTTTCTCAGTATATTCACGTGAGTAACTTTAAGTTAATTTAGTATGAAGTTATGTTCCGAAACTTATATTCTAACTAGTCTATACATATAGCACAACTTTAGAATATATATAAACATATATATATGTAAAATAAATAGCATAAAGTGTTATAAATATTAATGAATACCCACTCATGGTAGACGCACGTGGTCGTTAACGACTAGACTATGTCCACTACTTACATAATTACATAGATACATCTACCTCTAGTACCTAGACACTAATTGACTTCTCATTTAAAAGCCACCCATCCATCATAATAATACAACGGCAATAGGTTTTCAACTTTAGATTTTATGGAATAAAGTCAAAAGTCTATTGACAAAGTTCGATATACTAGGTCATCTTGATGTAATGGTATCTAAATATAAATCCTAGACTAATGTCAACTGAAAACCGTGACCCCTTCTTCGATGAATTGAATGTTGAATCAATTGTCATCTAGATACACGGCGTACGATACACTTTTACACGCGACTGCCGGGCAAGGGGTCTCGGGTTCGATTCCAGGGTCGAGCAAAGTATAATTGGGTTTTAAAAAAAATCTCAGTAATAGCACGGAGTCTGGAAATGTGCCCGGTATATGGCAATAGACTCACACTCTATTATATGGGACTCATAACATAAATAGTGAAAGATGGGTGTTACATTGTACAGTGGCATTAAGTGCCGTAATGTGCAACTCTACCTACCCCTTCGAGGATAAAAGGCGTGATGTTATGTAATGTATGTAAACTATCGCAATTATAACTTGAGAAAACTTCTAACAACCATGCTGCGTGATAGTTGACAATCATAATTATTTGAAGTGTATTTAATCGTTTTTGTTTTTGTTTTCGAGTCACAAGTTGAGTAATTGGCATGATATTCAAAGTAGTCAAGATAACTTTAGCAACAAAAATGATAATATCTAGAAAGACATTCAAACAAATGTAATTACTGTCAATGAACTTAAAAAAAAGTGATAATTTTATGTTTGGTCATTGTTTAACAATCTCTATCTATACATTTTATTTTATCTACACATTATATCTACATATATAATTACATGTACATTATTATAATAATATAATAAAATCGTAGGAAAGTGAAAACCATCGAATATTTTTTTAAAAGAATTCTTTCGGCGTGATCTGCAGTCGATACCGAAACCAAAAATATGGTTTTCAGAATTTTTGTCTGTTTGTCTGTATATATGTCCGGGATGAACTCAAAAAGTGCTGCATGGATTTACTTCAAATTTTGCATCATTATTACTAATAGGTCGTGGTGGCCCGGAGGTTTAAGACGCCCACTTCTCATGCATGAGGGTGCGGGTTCGAAACCTACCAACGGCAAGTACCAATGTGACTTTTTCCGAGTTATATGTACTTTCTAGTATTATTTAGACACCACTGACAAACGGTGAAGGAAAAACATCGTGAGGAAACCTGAACTTATAATTTCTAATTATAAGTTTAAAATCGCCAACCCGCATTGAGCAAGCGTGGTGATTAATGCTCTAACCTTCTCCGTGTGAGAAGAGGCTTTGCTCAGCAGTGGGCATTTATAGGCTGTTGATGATTACTAATAGGTAGGGTCAACATATAGGCTACATATTATCAAGATATCAACTACGGGGAAGGAGCTGTGAATCACTATTCCACGCGGACGAAGTCGCGGGCTTTTTTGAGGGGGGGGGGAATTATCGAATAACTGTTCCCGCCTGGGTGAGGCGGGAGGGAGTGTCAGATTCTTACTGACTAAAAAACCACCCCGTTCCTTCTCCTGCACTTCGAGCCGGAGCCCCGGCAACCCGTTAGGTTCTCCGCGGCTTCGTATCGGTATCAGCCCTATTGGGCGACATCCATGAGACTTAGCTAGTTAATAATAATATGATAATTAAAATAATTTGAAACTGAATAATAGAGTAAGCATTAGCTACTTCAAATCACACGTCAACAGTCTATAAGTGGCTACAGCTAAGCAAAAACCACTTTTCAAAAGGAAGTATCTTTCTTGCTTGTTATCTCCATTTAAATATACACCTTAAGACGAGAATAATTATAGCAAAAAACGTGTGGGAGAGTCATGCTTCAGCATGAAGGAAGGTGTCCATGGGCGACGCCAATTGTTTACCATCAGGTGATCCGTCTGCTCGTTTACCGGCTTATGCCATAAAAAACTTCACAAGTTATAGACGCCTCCGAAAGTTAGCCTCGCTTTCAAAAGACGTAGTTCCATTTATATTGCGAATGTATTATATGTACGATTTAACGTCATAATGTCGATATTGCACCTGTTGACACGTACGTCAATGAGTATTCTACAATTGTATAAAAAACATCGATAAGATTATTTCAATTTGTTTAATTATGCTCTCATTAGTAGTCACCTGCTAAAGACATGTGAATAAGGGCCGATGTTTGAATCATCAGTGCAGGTCTACTCCTGCACTTCAAGCCGGGTCCAAAAACCACCCCGTTCGTAGGATCCAGGCGGGAGAAATAATTCGATGATTGTCACCCCTTAAAAAATACTATAGTTAAAATTTTACTGGTGTTGAAAAAATCGGCCCTAAGTTACCGACATTTATCTTTATCCTTATTTAAATCGTAAATCTTTGTATAAACAAAGAGTTAGGTCATCCAATTTTTACCACTTATATCATGAATTCAATGTAATAAGAGGTAAACTTATTGCCAAGTCTCAAACATAATTTTAGGCTCCATACTATTGCTGAGAATATCCTAAACCTAAAAAAGTCATCACTTATTTATGACTTTATTCAACACATAAATTATTATTAAACCTTATAAAAATGAAAACCCCTTGTTAAAAACTCGACAGTCGCGATAAACATAACAGTCAAAACAAAATATTAATTATATGATTTATGCCCAAATACTAAAACGTTACTCAATTGTAAGTCGTGCTTAAATATAGTTCTAATGACAGAGACGGCACGATATTTAAGTACAATTTCAAGTTGTACTCTCTCTCTCTCTCTCTCTCTTTTAGGTAGTATTCGCGCGTTACTTTGTCAAATTGTACTTATCTCAAATGACATAACATGTCGAAAGATAACCTTGTTTACATTTTTTTTGTTCGCTGCAAAGACAACGGCTTTAATTTTAGAGTAATTATGTATGTACGACGTAATTGCTTGTTTGATTTTCTGTTTATGAACAGTTGGGTGATTCACATTGTGAAGTACATCTTCGATTCGTACCTGGTAGGTACTTCAATATACGATAGGAACACGTGCTTTAAACGTGTTTACATTGTGAAGTATATACTTACTTGTTATTTATGTATTTTAAAATATATCAAAACAAAACAATTGAATGTCTACTTACTTGCTTATGTGTAAATATCATATAAAAACATTACACGCGTATTTTTTAAAATGCAAGACAAATACTATGTAGCCTAATAAATTATGACTACGATGCCGCGGAAGGCCTAACGGGTTGCCGGGGCTCCGGCTCAAAGAGCATGAGTAGGAACGGGGTGGTTTTTAGTCAGTAAGAGTCTGACACTCCCTCTCACCTAACCCAAGGCAGGAGATGTCACTGAATGTTTTTTCCTATTCAAAAAAAAAAAACGCCTAACTTTGACAGCTCTGAATTAAGCCATTAAGTCAGGAATGATGGTCGAGTATTATTTTAGATTAATTTATAGTCTAGAATTACACACAGGTCATAAGTACGTCTTTTATCCTATTACTATTATAGAGGTACAATTGAGTAGTTTCCAGGGTATTCATATTTACAATCTAATTAGTTCGTTAGATAGATAATGAAAAAATATTAGACACATATTTTTTATTTTTTCGTATTAAGTAGCAATACTTAGATAAAATGGCGCTAAGTTTAGGAGTGGGAGGTTGTTACGTCATAACGTGGTACAAAATGTGGCACGCTGTGACGCGTCTCTGATAAAACTCTTTATTTGTTTACAATGAATCGAGACAAGAATGAATATAAACAATTATATTTTTACAGATCATGATAATCCTATTGATCTGGGTGACGGTGCTGGTCGCCGCCGTGGTGCTGTACTTCAGACAGCTCTACTCCTCATTCAATCGCCATGGCATCAAGCACATTAAGCCAGTACCTATCTTCGGCAACATGGGCGGCATTCTGTTACGCATTGACCATATTTGTGATAATATTGTGAAGCTGTACAATGACTTCCCTGAGGAGAGGTAAGGAGTTCATCACAATTTATCTTGTGCAACTGCGTAGCATAAAAGTAAAGCTAACAAACAAAACTGTCTCACTTGAAATTGTATTGTGAACCTGACTGAAAAAGAGTAAACTACGAAGTTTATAGCTCGTTGTTCTCCATAGGGATCTACACCTTGGCATGAACAAATAGCTTCAATAGTGACTTTGACATTCAAAAGTACCTACGGGGTCTTAATTAAAGTAAAATTTAGTGTATGCCTAATAATATATTTCTTATTAAGTACCGTAAAACGTGGTGAATAGAATTCGAGAGGTGAATAGATACAGAAATATGTTGTATATTGTATGAATAGATACATGGGTGAATAAATGTTAGAATATTTTCCCAACATTTATTCACCCCTCTTCTGTATCTATTCACCGCTCGAATTCTATTCACCCCGTTTTACCGTACTGTATTTTAAACTTCTCTTCAATTCATCAGGTTCGTCGGTAGATACGAGTTTGTGAGTGAGCTGATCCTGGTCCGTGACATCGAGCTCATCAAGAAGATTGCCGTCAAAGACTTCGAACACTTCCTCGACCATCGCTCTCTATTCAGCAACAGTGAATCCTATTTCTCCAGGAACCTGTTCTCTTTGAGAGGTATTTGACAACAGCCAGTTTTAGACCTTCAACCATAGAATTTAAAGCTTACAATAGTTCTCAAGTCTCTGATACTTAAAGAATAAGAAACTATATTTTGTATTTACGCAGAAGAATGGAAAGGATGGACGATTTTGCAAAACACATTAAAGTTAATCACAGTGAATAACAAAAATAAGAGGGTTTTGATTTGGTCTCTATTATTTAGTCCTTAACGTTAAAAATCTATTAAACAAAGATGGATTGTTTCTATTTAGGTCAAGAATGGAAGGACATGCGGTCTACTTTGAGTCCAGCGTTCACCAGCTCAAAGATGCGTTTGATGGTGCCTTTCATGGTAGAAGTCGGAGAACAGATGATGCAGTCACTCCATCAAAGTATAAAACAATCCAAAGGTGAGTTTGATGAAGCAAGTGATACTTGATTTCCTTTCTGCCCGTATGTTGTTACTTTGGTTCCCAAAGTCTCTCTGTTCTTTTTTCTATATCCCGTATTTTTATTCGGGACAAAGAAATAGATCTTTTTTTTCACATTCTTACACAATATATTTATCTTTTCTTTGATAATCTTCTTATAATCCTTTTTATATTCACCTTTTTCTTTGGTAAGATATTAACCATATTTCCTGAGGCTACACTTATAACGTTATATAATTGATGATTATTTATAAAATTTTAACTTTCTTCAGATGGCTCCATAGACATAGAATGCAAGGACCTGACAACCCGCTATGCTAACGATGTGATTGCGTCCTGTGCCTTCGGTCTGAAGGTGGACTCGCACAATGACAAGAACAACACTTTCTATGCGCTGGGCAAGGAGACCTCCTCGTTCAATTTTCGACAGATGATGACCTTCTTCTTGCTGATTAATGCACCAGCTTTAGCCAAGGTACAGTCAATACTTTATTTCGATTAAACTCAAATGATCAGTTTTGAATTTTAGTTAAGTTAATAAAGTAAAAAGTGGTTTCAATCGTTCAATTAGTATAAGTACATTGATATTTGGACATCTTATGTTGACCTCTATATGGGGGAAAATTATTTAATAGTTCGTGTAGATAATAATGACTTATTTCAAAGTGTAGATCCCTAATGGCTCGTACACAAAACTGCGATGTGACGTAGCATCGCAAAAATGTACGAGCTCCCTCTACGCATAGCAATCGCATCGCGCATCATCTTCCCAAAATCTTGTTTGTTTCTTTTTCCTGTATCTTCTAGCAATAACAAAAGCGCTCACTTCTTTTCACGATCCATATCACGACTTAGTTTTCAATTTAAAATACGTTTAGTACGGTTGACGGTCGTCGAAGGAATGGTCATTGGTCATTGGTCACCCTGGGGAACGCCTTGTTGCACGAATGCGCATCGCAGCAATACGTCTTGTAATTTTCTGCATTGCGAATTCGCATCGCATCCCATCGCATTTTTATGTACGAGCCCTCTAAATTAACACCGTATTAAAAATATTTACACATTAAAATGATATTTACGTTTCGAGACGAGATTTTATTATTAGTAACATGTTTTTAAATCTATTTAAATTCTTATTTTATAATAACAAGTTTGACTTGCGACGCCATGAGATTATCATAATTTACGTATTGAAAACGAGTTGATAGTGAGAGTGCAAATCCACGGAATCGATATCATATTACCTATACATCGGATACCTAATTCGGCCTATCTGACAAATGTAGCTAATTCAAGTTTTCGCGAACAAATCCCCCAAAATCCTAATCGGCCGCTATGCTTTGAAACGAGTTCACTTCGACTTATTTTTAATATGTAAAAATTAGCTTCAAAATCATTGTCAAAGCATTTATTTCAATTAAACCATAATTTGGTACTTTTGAAACGACAACAAATATAAAATAAATAATAGTCTGTCAGTCAGCCCGTTAGTGAACCTAGGTGCTCATTCCAAAATGTAGATTCGAATGGAGAAGATCGAGCAAGAAACTCCATTCGCTACTCTTTTTAAAAAAGTATGTATTGAATCAATAAAGTTATTTAGTTTTAACTTTCCCCTGTACAACTAGATCTATTGCAGACACGCGTACCTTTACCTATTGTATTCACCTTTACGTTTTGTAAATCCGCGGATTTGCACTATCCCCGGCGATATCGTAAAAATGCCATAGCTATTGGTATTTATAAACAAACAAATACAATAAAATCAATTTATCAATGTAATACTTTAAACTGAGTTATCAACAAACAATTTGGTGTGAAAAGATAAAATAAAATCGATAATCTTAGTATTATGACGGTGAAGCCAAAAGAAGATAACATCGCCTCTTTGTTAGTAGAGGTAGACAGCCTTATCAAATACGTACACATTGTCTGTTATGTTGGTGGATTATCAAATTATAGTCGTATTTATTACAATAATGTGCAGGGCGCACGACTTGTACACACACCAGAGTATGACAGGGAGATAGCACCGTTACTGACGAGTGTCCTACCTGATATAACACATTATAGTGAGGGGGCCACTACTCACTAATTAGTGATGTTAATACAGACTAAACATACATGTAACAATGTCTACATGTAATGTGGACAGTCTGATTGTTTATATGTCAACAGATATCAAAACTGGAAAAAAAAATTATTAAATTTTTCTTGCCGCTCTAGTCTCACGGCCGTTTATAACAAGCTGTCTAGTCATGGGTACAAAAAATAGAGCTTTACTTTCAAAATCATTTTTTGTCAATGGTTTATCATACTACTGGTACATAATGGTTTATAATACTGACAAACCATTAGGAATGATAGTCAGACTACCAAAAAAAATTCAGATGAATTAATTCAAAATTTTGATTATTTTTTTTGTTAGATATACGTTTCCGTACAAAAGGATTTTCTCTTGTGTCGTGGGTGCTTTTACAAACATACTAGTTCACATACACATGACACCCAGTCCCGGAACAACAATCTGTGGATCACACAAAGAGTAGTTCCGTGCGGGAATCGAACCTGCGACACTTTTCGTTAATTTCGTTGAAAGCAATAACAATTAATCCGTGGAAAGCAATTTTCACATCTATGTCAATGACAATTAAATTAAAAATATAAATATTATGATCAACACGTCAACATTCAGTCATTCATTCAATAATGTATTCTATACACACAACTCAAAGTTCAAGGTCATTTTGCCGCGGCACAAACTATGTGTGCGACCGACGCAATTGAAATTTAAACTACCGGTCACATGTAATAGGTAATTGCATAATAATGATTTGATAAAAGATAACACTAAGTACAACATATTATTATATTTAAAAATGGCGGAAAATAATCTCTATGTAATTGTGATAAAGTCTACCATATCAGTTCACGATCACGAATCATGATTATGTTTTAATGTAATTTCTGCTTTATCCCACAGTTATTAAAGTTGGATTTCCTCTCGGAGTCATCAAAGGAGGCGTTCAAGAAGCTGGTACTTGGTACAATGGAAAACCGAGAGTTAAAGAAGATCATCAGACCCGACATGATTCATTTGTTGATGGAAGCTAAGAAAGGTAGACATAAGAAAATATGAAATGATAATAATTAACATAATATTGATGATTCCAAAGATAAAATTAGTAATGACTTGTAAATTACAGGCAAACTGACTCATGATGAAATCAAATCCAATGATTTAGCAGCTGGATTTGCGACTGTAGAAGAATCAGCTGTCGGACAGAAAGAAATTAATAGAGGTATGTATTAAAAAACTGTATTCGAACTTTTTTTTACATCTTTTATAACCTTGTCGTGTTAGTTAAATGACAAACGGTGTTAATACAAGTTGTAGATAACTAAGAAAACGGATGATAAAATATTCATATTCGGTTAAATCTGAAAATAGCAAGAAATTAAAACTATACCGCACAGACTACACGGTTGGCGCGGTAGCTGAGAAACCGGCTGGCGCACTACGTGTAGCGGGCTCGATTCCCGCACGGAGGAACTCTTTGTGTGATCCAAAAATTGTTGTTTCGGGTCTGAGCGTCATGTGTATGTGTAAACGGCACAGGAAAAATTCCTAGTGTAGGGTAACGTTTTAAAAATAATTCATATTTGGTTAAATCTGATACCTAACAGGAAGAAATTAAAATGACGATTATAAGTACTTTAATTGACGAATTTAAAAAAGACCAGTAATATCACCACCAGAACTTTATCACAAAACGATTAATAATGTATTAGAGCATAATTTTAATTATAACGATTTAATTCTAGTATGGACTGACGAGGACCTCGTAGCACAAGCAGTACTGTTCTTCATAGCCGGTTTTGAGACCGTATCATCAGGAATGTCCTTCCTTCTCTACGAGCTGGCTATGAACCCTGATGTTCAGGATAGGTTGGCGCAGGAAATCAAGGAGAATGATGCTAAGAACGGCGGCAAGTTCGACTTCAACTCCATACAGAACATGGTCTATATGGATATGGTTGTGTCAGGTGAGATTGATGAAGCTGATTATGAATATAAGAGACCAAAAGAATTTGGTCTCTGATGGGGTAGAAGTGCACATATTCAATGTGAAACCTGCCAACTAGGCTGTTATAGAATTAAATCAAGATTTAATAATATTACAACCTATTAATTCAATGGACTGTTATGATCCTAGATCCTCAATCTAGAATAGTAACGATGAAAACACAAAGTATAAAACAATAAATTAGAAAAATTGCTAGAAATTAATCGACATTTCATTTTGCAGAGCTTCTTCGACTTTGGCCTCCTGGCGTAGCCCTTGACAGACTTTGCACTAAGGACTACAATATGGGCAAACCTAACGCTAAAGCAGAGAAAGATTTCATTGTAAGTTAAACTTTTTATATTACTCATACAATCCTATAATCTGAAACATTGTAGAAGAAAACCATATCTTTATAAAAGTACCAAATATAGCAAAAAAAGAAAAAAAAGAAAATCAGTTTCGACGATCCTCCAGTGAAACTAATTGCTGTTCCAAAAGTATTGACTTCTATGAAACAAGTGACAAACTTGAATAAACTTCTTTAATCTGAATTATTTGAATGTTACAGCTCCGCAAAGGTAGTGGAATCTGGATTCCAGTTTACCCAATCCACCGAGACCCTCAACACTTTCCCAACCCTGACAAGTTCGACCCAGAGCGCTTCTCGGAAGAAAATAAACACACGATTAATCCTGCCGCGTATATGCCCTTCGGTGTCGGACCTAGGAATTGCATTGGTGAGTGTAGCCACGAAGTTTAAGGGTGATTCACTTTCACTTATGGGACCAGTAGAATACCAACACAAGGCTCTGCTTGCATATGATAAACTGGTCCCATTTCACCGCAGATTTGGGACATGAATATGTATTTTAAAACTAATACTACACATAATCTGTACTCACTTGTTTTTAGCGTGTAAAATATAGTTTTTTTTTTCTGTTGCTTTCTGGTAATAAGCAATTGGTGCCGTTCACAGACTTTCACAACACCAAAATTAGAAGTGCTTTTCTTGCCTTCTAGGGTATGAGGATTGGGGATTAGAGATTTGGGGACACAGAATGAGGGGGATATAATTGACCTCCGTCCGGTATCAGGCCTTTTGATGTCAATTATAGAATGTGACATTTGATAGTTTGGTGAAATTATGTAAAAAACCTTTATTTTTAATTCTCAGGGTCCAGATTTGCGCTTTGTGAAATAAAAGTAATGGCGTACCAGATCTTACGAGAGATGGAGGTGTCTCCTTGCGCAAAGACCTGCATACCAGCCAAGTTGTGTAAGAACACCTTCAACCTGAGGCTCGAAGGAGGACATTGGTTAAAATTCAAACCGAGGACGAATTAAGGATTTTCGACTTTATTACAAAGAGATTTTGTCTACCTGTAGACAGTGCTGTAGGCACTATAATGATCAAAGATATTTTTGTTAGTGACACTACTTAATAAGGTTTTATTGTGTATCTAAAAGAGAGTAGAAAATCTATTTGTCAATTTGGCGTAATATAAAGTTGTCCACTAATGATACTGTAAGCATTTTGTACCTTTAAAAGTTTTAATAGTCTGGTATATTTAAGTATTGGTTTGCTAACGACTGATGTGTACAATAATAATTTTGTTTTACACCAAAGGTGTTAACACGTTAAACGCCATTGGGGTTAGCGGCGACCGACATTAGATGAGGGGTTCTAGGTGACCAACAACGTGAGCGGAGGGATAGCCTTCAATAGTTTTCTATTGGCAGTCAAAGCTTTAATATGATATTGATGATGATGTGATTTAATTAATACAATTTGAAAAACATTGTTTAGAAGTGAGTTGCAACTGGATATAATTTTACGGTGCACCCGATTATGGGGCAATTGAACAGTTGCCTACATATAATGATATTTTGTATAGTTGTAACTAAGATTATTTTATTGTGATATACGATAGGCTAAGGTTATTTCATTACAAAAGTACGTAAGTAAAATAAATTAACACAATATCATCTGTTGTTTCTTTTCTTAATACTAGCATTATATCTACTGCCTCGTTAGAAAAAATCTCAGTAAAAAAATCTCAGTAGTAGCACGGAGTCTGGAATTGTGTCCGGTATATGGCAATAGGCTCACCCCCTATTACATGGGACTCATAACATAAATAGTGAGAAGTGGGTGTTACAGTGTACAGGCCTGTGCACCTCTGCCTACCCCTTCGAGGATAAAAGGCGTGATGTTATGTTATGATATGTCATTATATCTTCATAATCAGTGACCAAGTTTGTTATTTCCAAGTTGCTTTGCAAACGTACACTATGAAAACGCTCTTTAAATAGTGTAAGACCTAACAATTTTTAAAGGTTGACAAGTACATTTAATATTGGCTAGTTAGTTTCCTAGCTTTAAAATAAATAGTTTCAACTTTTCCATTTCAATAAATAATTAAAAAATAATCATACTCTCATCCATTGATTTGACAATTTACTACTTTTGGATTTTTTCTCGCTAATTTTAAGGAAATAAGTATACTAATTGACGCAGAAATATGATGACGTCATAAGTTGCGATCCAATAAAAATTCATAGAAAAGTATAGTTTTTGACATTTCAATAATAGTATTGAATTTGACTATCAGTCAACTACCGTATTCTGCGTTTAGCAGTTAGGTTATATTCACAGAAAAGAGAAGTTACATTCACGTATATTTGGTGACGACAAACTGGAACTAAACATACCTCGCTATAAAAAACTTACGTTGATGAGCATTAATTTCAGAAAACAATAACAGATGGCGTTGTTACCAAAACCAACGCTCCCCAAAGAGTGCTAACCGAAGTTCCTGGTAACGACTTTAGTTTTAGGTCACTCGTAACGTCTCTAAAGGTGAGACCATCCATCAAAGTTACTACCTTCATGTCAAGGAACTGGGCCAAAGGAAACTGCATTTAGGTCATCTATAACTCACTGGATTTGTTCCTTTTATATTACATGAGGTATCTTTTTAAAATAAGGTCGGTGTACAAACAAGGTAAGGGGTCGTGCACATGAATCAGAGCTTCGACTTGTGAAGGGGTGATAAATGTGTGTGCTGCTTATGTTTTGGTATTCTCATTCGAGGGAAGTATGCTATGAATGTGAAGATGAAAAATACAAAAAAAACATGATTAATCTTTCATCAAGTCCTTATTTTTTTTTGCCCCACATTAGGATTTTCTCCTGTCTCGTGGGTGCGTTTACAAACATACAAGTTCACATAAACAATGACACCCAAACCCGGAACCGCAATTTGTGGATCACACAAAGTGTTGTTCCGTGCGGGAATCGAACCCGCGACACGTTGCACGGCAGCCGGTTGCCAAGCCACCGCGCCAACCGTGCAGTATTGGCTTGTAAAAGCCGATTAAGGGGCTATATCTACATTTGACAAAGAGATAGCAACGTTTTTTGATAGACCGGGGGGTTTTAAACTACGTCCTCGGAGCTGCGGAGTACTTAACGGGTTGCCGGGGCTTCGGCTCGAAGTGCAGGAGTAGGAACGGGGTGGATTTTAGCCAGTAAGAGTCTGACACTCACTCTCGCCACACCGGTGGGAGGAGCCATTGGATGATTTTCCCCCTCAAAAAAAAGGTAAATTAATTAGCCTACGTGATATCTTAGATTCCGTACCTAATATCTCTCCAACTGATAATTAAACTTAGAACCACTTGATGAAACAAATTCAACGTCAGTACCCACAAATTTCTTTGAAACTACTCACGATCCTAGATAGCGTACTCCTTCAACGTCACCAACTTACTTAACGCACTTAAACTGAAAATTAGTTCAAGTAGGAACATAAAGTAGGTCTGTAATGTATACTTCCATCAATCTTGAGTCTACCACTATTAATCATAGTCCTGTATCTTCCGACTTCATGTAAATATGTCATTTTGGCCATATTTTCTACGTCGCGTCTTGTCACATATGTTTGAGCACTCGCTCATAATATGAAACTACGTTCACTTTATGTCAATTTTAAGTTCACGCTGATGGTATAGCTACCTTTTGGTTATGTAACATGCAGTTGAGGAGTTATGGGGTAAAGTTATATTGCGTTGTAAAAGGTTTGATTCGGTTATGTTTCCGGTGGCTCAGAGAGTTTAGATTGTGCGAAGTTTCCTATATTTTGTATGTTCTTAACTAATCATAAAGATCATATCAACATGAAAAGACGGATGAAAGATCATATAACCAAAAATCGCGAGTTACTCATGTTAAAATACTGAAAAAACCTTTACTAGCGACCGCGCACGCTGCTCATGAGGATCAGCGCCTCTGTGGCTTGGAACTGGTAAAGCGTTTTAGTCAAATCAATATGCCTCCCAATAGTTATTATAAAAAACATAACATGAAAAGTCATTACCATCAGATTGACTGAATAAAATAATTATTGTTTAAGTAAGTAAAAGGTTATGGTCGATTTAACGACATTTGATAACAAGAGTCTTTGATAATGCCATTATGCCATGCAGTGTTGTCATAGGAAGCTAAATATAATTTTTGATGTTTTATAACATACTAGCTTTTATCCGCGGCATCGCTCGCGTCACAAAAGCATAAAAAGTAGCCTATGTGACATATACCAATACTCACAGCGCCATCTATACCAATACCTTTTTTCCCTAGGAAATATCATTTTTTCCGGGATAATAACTACCCTATTATATAATACGGACTTCTAACTTTACGTCTGCAAAAATTCAAAGCAATCGGTTAAGTAGTTACGGCGTGAAAGCAGAACAAACAAACGAACTCACTTTCCCATCTATAATAATATAATAACATATAAAGCAATCAATTTTTTCTCTTTCTAAAAGGCACTAATATTGCCCAAATAACCGAATATACCTAAATGAAAATTCGTTATTTGTACCTGAACCTTCGCTCAACTATTTTTGTAACCCCGTTTTATTGGTGTAAAGGAATTCAAGACATGCCGTGATTATCCGTGCGTCAAGATTTGCCGAAATACTTGGCTTTGAGCAACTATGCGTGACGGAGTTTATTCCTAAATGTGCAAGCTCTTGACAACAATTTATGTACGTTTTTAGGGCTGGACGCGGGCACTTATATCCTTTAACTTCGACCAGCAGTATCCTCAAATTCTTCAGTGATTAGAGATGACCAAACAATCTAGTTTAAACTAGTTTCCGCCAATCAGGCTTATACCATCTGTTCATCTCTATCAATGATCTTAATGTGATCTTCAAGTTACCTGTCAACCGCAGGGATTATACCTACCTCATCTCAAGAAAGGCTTTTCATCAGGCAATGGAAGTCTTTTAGCTGTTATTTTAATGTCTATAGTTATTTAAAGGCTTTTTCTTATAAATGTATGTCAGCCTCATCATACGCTAATACAACTTATAACTAAGTACATGTTAATATAATTATAAGTACATGTTATTATAATTATGTAATTCCGCTTCTTTTGAATTTGGTATGAAAACCCGGACATCATATCGTTTAATTTTTAGCTCTCGCATCACCATCTCTCTCTCTTTTCTCTTCTTCTAGCATTCCACCAGCAAATATTGGACATCATCAAATTTATTACATTGACACTTGGTTTTCAGATCGTGATGAGTGTGAAATTTTCCTACACTTTAACTAATTCTGCTAGCTGTTGACAGTAATTTATAGGCATTCTTTGGGTTCATAACATAACTCACCCTTTGGGTGCGGACCCTGTAAGACGGGTTCGCTGTCCATTTTCCTGTCCGTCACACCGCTATATATTTTGAACTAGACATTTAATTTCTATAGAGTTTGTACAGACACTACAGTAGTACATGATTGGGCATTCTGTACCACTTTTCGCGTTGTAAGCGATGGTGAATTGTGTTAGAAAAAAGTCGAGATACATAACATTTCGATCGACGGCAAAAATGCATCGCATATCTATAGCTAAAACCGAGTTGACCATTTCATTAGTAGGTTCTCGTTCGCGTTTATATCATTGATGGAGTCGACCGTTGACGATTGGGCATTCTGGAGCACCGGAGCGATGGTGAACTTGTTTCGCCGAGCGAAAAGTGGTCCCAGAAAGCCCAATCATATACTACTCACCAGCATCGTCAAGCTATCTTAAAGTTGTCGTATTTTTTTTATAGCTATAATTAGTAATTATGAGATTAAATTGAATCGTAGTTCTACCTACATAGTTAGCCCTGTGCAGAAAAATATTGCAAAATACAATTTCAAGCTAATTTGGAAGAAAAAAGAAATATAATTGATCAGATAGAGGCAATTATAATGCTTTTGCATCAACAATTTGTTTTAGGTACTTAGTATTTCTATAAAACCTTTTTATTGTTCATCATTATTTTTATTTCAAATATCGTATTTAGGAATTCTTGTATAAACTACGTTGAAGAAAACCGACTATCCCCTCGTTTTTAAACTCGGTAATTAATTTACTAAAGCCTGAATGTAACAAACACTTTACTGAAAACCTCATCAAAGTCGGTTCAGCCAATAGCGAGATAGTCGCGCACAAATAAACAAACATACATATATACAGGTCAAACTGAGAACCTCCTTCAGTTTTTGAAATCGATCAACAAAATATTATCGTAATTAAATAAAATAATTAGTCATTTACCATATTTTGTAAACGAATGAAAATCTGTTCAGCTGTTTCTGAGTTTGACACAAACACACATAGACAGATATAGTGAGGGACTTCATTTTATGTGATATAAATTTGATTGCACGATTAGCGCGGTAGCTAGGTAACTGGCTGCCACGCCACGTGTCGCGGGTTCGATTCCCGTACGGAACAACTCGTTGTGTGATCAAAAGATTGTTGTTCCGGGTCTGGGTATTTATGTGTATGTGAACTTGTATGTAAACGCACCCACGACACAGGAGAAAATCCTAGTGTGGGGCAAGGTGTTTCTAAAAACGATGTAAAAATACTCGGCAAATAAAATAATACAATGCTCGGCTGCAACATAGGCCAACTAGACTAATGACCGA